ATGAAAAAAATATGAATGATATTATTTTAACAAAAAAAAAGCCCAAACTAGGATCTTATTTTAATCAGATTGGATTCTATTCAAACATTAATTGCTGGGAAGAGGCACCCATGTTTACAGCTATGGGTAAGGTTATTCCAGTTATTGGCATTTGTTATCTATAGCGAATAAATAAAATAAAAACTATTCCCCGATGCAATTTATTCAATCAATCATTCCATTTTATACGCTAGTCACAGGCTCTGTGAATAACCGTTAATGGTTTTCACCCCCTAGTGTGTGGGACACCTGTGTCATCATCGCATCATGTTATTACGTGCATGTAATCTCAACCCGATGTACACATTTTGTGAACTCTTTAATTTCACAAAATATTACAGAAAACTGACACCCCCCCCCCCACTACACCTTGCCTGAAACGTGATGCCTGGCCCTAGATTTGTCGAAACGAAACACCACCAGCATTCCTTGTACTACGTGTGATGATGCAATTATAAATTGAATCAACATGCTAAGAAACATTTTAACACTTACAACGATCTTTTTTCCTGAATGCAATATTTTTTACGCTAATTGTCTTTGTGTGTTATCATTTTTCGCATTCTAAAACAAAAGGCAGAATTACCATCAATAAGTTGGCGCCGGTTAACTAAAAAACTAGTTCGTGTGTTCTAGCAATCAGTATGTGAAGGAGAAATAGTTATCATTTCGCCGTAAATGTCTATTTCAGTACATCCAATAAATCCAATATCATCCGTCTCCGCTTTATTTTGTTCCATATTGACGCCAAGAGTTGCTTTCGAATCTCAATATCCATATATATTTTAAAGAGTCGTTATAAAACGCAAAATCATTACAAATTGCAATGTAATCTATGTACGCAATGCTGGCTTTTTGAGACCTCTCATAAAAGAAAATTTTCCAACGTAAATCCTGGATTTTCTCTTTTGCAATCGTACCCCAGGGGTCAAGATAAGAATCTCTGTTCGTTTAAATCCCTTGTCGTAACCCGAGTAAATGGTTCGCAATCAATGATTGCCTGCGTTTTACAGTATTGAACATTTATGTACTTAAATGGTACTGCATGTACAAAAACAAATACAAATATACCTGCAAGCAGCAATGATAGGTTTACAACTGACATACTATTAAGCCATGTTGTTATTAATATGTTAACGTTTAATGGAACAAACCAATTTGTCGTTCAGGGTAAAATGATATGATGGCTTAGAATCTTTGATAAACCTATTTTGAGGGATATACATTTCAGTATAGGAAATTCATTTTCTTACATATATGTATAATTATACGTATACGCAAGGATTTTCCAATTAAATGAAAACCATTACGTGAACTGCCAATTCCACAAGCAGGTACACATGTGCCAAATGTGAATAATGATGATGTGATCATAGTTAAGGAGCTCACATGAATAGTACATTTTACTCTATTTATCAAAATGGGCAATAGCCAGTAGTTAATAGCCAATAGTTAGTCATAACAGTGTGTGTGTAATTGCTCTGGGAATTGAATATACACATAGATGATCAGCTAATAGTTTTTAAATATTAATTTCTTTTTATCCATTTATCCATGTGAACAATACCCAGTAACAAGTACAATAAAATTTATAATAGATCTCTGGGAATAAAATATTTGCATAATTAATGAGGTCATGTGACTAGTTAAAGGTTAAACAATTTGTTTATACACATGCACAATATGAAGTTATTAGTAAATTGATCTCTCATGATTAGATGTTCAATTAATGAATGTGCTCACATAATCAGGTAATCAGTTTATCTAAATTTTCCTATTCGTATGCACAATATCTAAAAAATATGATGATATTAATAAAAATTTTGTCATTCAGATGATTGTACTGGAGTGAGTGTTTTGAAAAAGAGAGCACATCTTGTTACTCTATGTGTGGCACCTGCTATATGTCATAATCAAATTATTTCTGTATGGAGCACACCAAGTAATAGTGATGCAATTAGAGATCATTCTTGTATTGTTACTGTATTTAACCACAAGCATATTACATCTGCCAAAATAATTGTTTGTGAGTGATATTGTATAGATTTCTACACCATAACATTTATTGGGTGATTTTGGAGTGATGAGTGTAAATCTCAAGCAACTACACATGATGTGCACACCAGCCATGAATCATACACTTGAAATATGATTTAGTTTACATAATGTACATTACCATCAGCCTGCTACATGCCCCGCCTCCATATCTGAGATATTTGTCCATACCTTGAATGAGCATGATCCAAATCAATTCACATGCGTAATGAAAATGTATCGTTCTTGTTCTTTAGTTGCCTGCAGCAGTACACATTGTGTACCCAATTGTTGACATTATAATTATAAGCAAGCAGACTACACTTTCCTGCTGGACATCAGTGGTCATCACTACTCGTTAATTCTAATATCATTAATGATGTAATTTTCTGTTTAACTCAGTCATTGATGAATGATTCTCAAGCAGCAATAGCAAGAATACAAAGTTCTCCTGTTGGTTAAAAAACGAAATTGTCAGATATCACTACAATTTTACTCATAAGTAGTTTTTCTGGCCAAACGTAACCTTGCTAAAGGCATAATATATTATGTTTTTCTTGTGGACTATATTCAGAATCAGTACAAGTATTTATCAGGTTATGCTGAATCTAAGCTCAACATTCCAACAAAACATATTATATACATTTAGACATTCAATTTATATCTGTATTTTTCTTAATGTATAAACAGACCACAATATTTCAAATTATTCTGCGCTTGACATTTCAGAGTACCAGGCAAGCAATGGATTCCCCTGAAACTGATAAGACTTGTTGGTCTGATGGTATTTGTGCGTGTATCATTGAGCATTGTGGCAATGTTCTCTCTATTCCACTTCCTATCCTTTTCTAGAAACCAAATTGGCTATTATTGTTCTTTTTTTAAAGAGACCATCCACTTTATTAGATTCTTACTAGATCAGTGGTGGTTTGCAGATCAACCACCACTAGTAGCCTAAGCGATTTATTAACATATTAACAGCAGATAGCAAGATGATTCAATATATACAGATTTTAGAAAGGCACTCAACATTCATTGCTGTTCTATAAGGTAGTCAAATTCAGAGCATCTGCTTACCTTGGTCAGAAACAACAGCAAGTAGTTCTGGGTGGTCATATGTTGAAATGGCTGTCTAGAAATCCTCAATAGTATTTGTTTTGATGTTCCAACAATATGGAATGCAAGAACATTTTAGAACTAGGATAAGGGTCAAGTAATTGCAGAAGAGAATCATTAATACTCAAGTTCACAGTGAAAGAAAATTTATCTAAATGTAATATTGATTACTTTATTATATTAAATTCATTATATAATTGTGTTTTGTTAAATTGTATATTATAGCTTACTGCAAACCTA